TCAATATATTTAGGTGTTATAGGTTTAGAACTGGGGGTTGCTGATTTAGATGCATGGGTCTCAGGTGAAGATGCAACAGGAAAACCAGATGCAGTTGTACCCTGAGATGTAGATCCTTCTATAGGTGAATATAGACCTAGAGTAGGTAACCAAAATCTCATTTGATTTTTTCATCTTTTAAAATCTAACTCTTTAAATTTTTCTGGTTTAGCACTTAAAACTTCATCCTTAGGGGGACATTTTTATAAGATCAAAAACTAAGGTCCAATGAAAAATAAATAATCTGTAGAGAATGATAATAACATTAATGCCAATTCTAAAGTTGCTAACAAACTTTACAATCTTCATCCTTTTGACTTAAAGATGGTAATAAAAGCAATAAACAAATATTATGTATCTAAAGTTTGTTAAGCAAACTGTAACTTTCACAAATGAACACTAAATTATACGACTGCAAAACTTGAATGAATAGTAATTATATGAATGAACAGTGCTTTCTACGAATAAAAGAGTAAATTCGAATAAACAAATTTTTACGAATAAACAGTAACATCAAAGTAACATCAAATGAGCAGTAATTCGATATGAAAGTAAACCTTATGGGAATGAACAATGATTTCAAACGAACAGTAAATTCGGATAGAATCCTAACGAACAATAATTTTGAATAAACTAATTTTTTGAATAAACAATAACCTAAAAAATGAACAGTAATTCGATATGAAAGCAAACCTTATGTGGATGAACAGTAATTTTAGAATAAACAGTAGATTTGGATAGAACCCTAATTAACAGTAACCTCAAAATAAACAGTAATTCTAAAACCTCGTGGGGGTAAACAGTAAATTTAGATAGAAGCAATTTGCTCTAATGAACAGTAGCTCAAAATAAAGAAGTGATTGCATTAATGAACAGTGATTTTTGTGACAAATAATTGCACGAATAAACAATATTTATAATGAATAGTGAATCCGAATAAAATTAATTTATGAATGAACAGTAATTTGGAATGATCAAGATACCTCTTTAGATTGTTGGACTAGAAATCACAATTATTGATATTTATTAGAAAAATTAAATGAACAACTTTATCGGCCTGGGGAAAGCGTGGCGAACCACTGCCCTAAAGAGATATCTGACTATCTTGTACGATCAGCCAAGGTGAAATACTCCTTAGCGGTACGATCTCTTCTCTATCGGAACCCTAGTGTGCACGTCCGCGTTGGGGATGATGACCCTTGAATAAACAGCCAGAGAACTGTACCAAAAATTTGATGGAGGAAGAAGAAGAGAAAGAATGAGTTTCTAGTTTGTGTATATTTTATCTCCTCACATGGTTTCTTTTTATAAGGGAAAAAAGGACATGTTATGAAGAAAAAGAAAGAGCCTTAAGAATTTCTCACGTTCCTGAGAACGTGAGAAAACTAACTAACTTTTAATAATTAATTATTTTAGTTTGTTCAATTCTGGTATTTGATTTGTTGTTATTTATCCAACAGTTTCAGCCCACGTTGCTGACGTAGTTGAAACTAGGTCGAATTGGATAAATAAGTTGCAACTAGGTTGAAAATGATAATTATTTTCTAAAAAGGGTCTATTTTGAAAATTTGTCCTTTCAAGAACCTAAGAATTGTTGCAGATTTTCAAGTTTCTATACCTAAGAATTGTTGCAGATTTTCAAGTTTCTATGGCTTGTAGTTCTGTGCCTCTTATTGTTGCACTTAACTAGATTGATGTAGTTTTCCCTCCAGAATAGTTAAAATTCCCCATGTTTAAGATACATGACCTGGATCAAACTTACAGACACCTCCGCTTTGAATAGAGGCTTTCCTCTTTTCTTCAGAGATCTTCAGAGATCTCCTTTCGAAGAAATTGCCTCCTACTTCTATCAATCAACAAGCTCATGAGAAGCTTCTTGTCACCAAAGTCCTTCCACTCATTTACGCATCTTGGAGGAGAAAAGGAAAGATGTCATTATGATGATAATCAAAATAGACTAAGTAAAATGTTTCTTTCACGAGGAAGATTACTTCTCTTTTAACTGTCTATCATCTTCTCCACTCTTTCTATTAGAGGATTTTGGGCCCTTTTTGTATTTTGAGGCTGGTAGGCGTCATTTCTAGAACTAAGTATTTGATAGGAAAGCTCTTGATAGGACAACCATTACAGCATGCCAATGAGAGCATTTTTTTGCGTTTTGTTTGATGCTTCGTTGAGCACACTTTTGTAGAATTAACAAACACTGAAATATCTTCTATAATTAAAGCGAGCACATATTTTCCAACACAGTAGCTAATATGTTGGCAACTGTTAAAGTGACGCATTGGAATTTGGAACATAGTCACCTGTCAGAAGGATTCTGTCCACACAGGAACCTTATCATTTTTTTAATAGTTAAATATCCATCTGAAGGCCAATTTTTGACTTGTAGATGACGTCCCAGAATTTTTTGTAGAACAATATTAGGGAGCTGTATTGGGCTCACATCTTTACTAGATCTAACCAAACCACATTTGGCTTCAGCTTGGTTGTCCGAAATATTTTTTAGTTTTTGAACTATGGTAAGTCTGAAGGTTCCTTAAATTGTCCATCCAAATATATCTCCTCAAAATAAAGATCAAGAGTCGAAGACATCTGTTTTTCAACCATGCAATGTAGAAAGCTGTTTTGAGAGTTGTCCTCAGCTGCTAAATTCAAGCTCTTTCTCCAAATAATTTCTTTCTTTATGAGAAATGATAATATTCCGAACTATATTTGGGAAAATAAACGAATTTTTTTTGTATATGAGCAAGCCATTCTAAGCATCTCAAATGATGTTTCAGTTTTAATTGGCTTTCTTATCTAGAAGATAATTTTTTTGTCAAACAGTTACTTTTCCAAAAACTAGAGGGTCATCCACCATTCAGTATATCACCACTTGTGCTTGATCATTCTGCTCAAATTTCGTTCATTGAATTCTATTTATTTATCTGGCTTATCACATATTGTTATTATCATCACTATTATAACCATATGGACATTTCTCCCACGGGAACTGGGTTGCTTATGATCAGTATTTTAAAACCAAAAGGTGAGGTCAAGGCAATTAGGTCCTATGTTGTCTGAGGCGATATGCGCCAAAAAAGCGATCGCTTGAGTGAACCAAGGCGCTAAATATTCCAAAAATTCATAAACATTACAACTAATATGCAAGTAGCATAAATAGCAATATGACAAATTAATGACACCCAAATTTTCAAAGTCAAAAATCTAATAAATAAACCATCTATATGAAGTAGTAAGTGACAAATATTAAATAGTAATATTAACTAGTAACCCTTAACACATAATTAAGCAACAAACTTTGAACTTTAAGGTTCAAATAGTGACATGTCCTTAAAATGACATAGGTAGTAAAGTACATTTCAACAACAAATAGCAAAAAATCAACAATGAAAAAAGAAACACAAAATTCAATAACAAAAAGAAACTTTATTTTATCGTCCACTTTTCGCACCCTCAAAATTTTAAAATAGAGACAAAACAACTCGTGCCTTGCCTCACATGCCTTAGACGAGCCCTTGAGGCGCCAAGGCGAGCTCTTGAGGCGCCAAAAGGCGATCACTTTAGTAACCTTTATCGCCTGGTAATATGCAAAGTGCTAAGTTACAAGATGGCCTCGCCTGAGCGCCTCAAGCCTCCCCTGAGCGCCTCAAGCCTCGCCTAAGCATCTGAGTCTCTAAGGTGCATCACGTTTAAAACACTGCCTACGATGCAACAAAAATTCTTCAAAATGTTCATTGACGAAATTCTAGTCCCGCGGTCAGCCCTCTATGACTTGGTGTTAACTTCTCGTGTAAATATATTGTTTTGCTTATGTGCATTTTAAGTGTATGCAAACAAGGATAAAAACTCTAAGTTCCCTAGCTAGAAAAGTCCAGATGAAGAGGTAAAATTAGACCTTCTTTGCCAGGGATTCGTTTCTCTGACACAAACTAAACGTAGATTACCTCAGGTCAACCGCGCTCTACACGAAGTGTAGGGTGCACTGTGCAGCTACATGTGTCTCAATGCACCTCAATATGCCTTGTCGTTCTGCTTTGATGTACATTCTTTCATAATTCCTACTCTATCTTGTCCTTCTCTTTTGCCACTACTTTGTCATTCTTCTCCTCTTTCCTCCTTGTTCTTAAGTACTCTGCCCTTGTCTTGCTTTTATTTCCCCTTTTGCAATTGTTGCTATTACTATTATATCTTGAACACTGATTTTTGTGAAGTCGCAAGCTACTGTTGTAGATACAACGACATCAACAGTTATCAGGATTGTTGTTCTCTACTTATCATCTTCTCTTTATTTTTCTACTTCACTATTAGTTTACTCATCATCATTATTATAAAGAATTAGTCTACTCATAATTTTTTTTCTTTTCCTATTTATTCCTTTTTCACTATGATACTTCTTCCCTTTTTTCTTTGTTATGTGGATTTCTTCCTTTTTTTGGTTCTCCTATTCCCTACTTCACTTTATTTTCTCTGATTTGCCTTATCACTTTTCTCTCTCTCTCTCTCTCTCTCCTCATTTCAGCATTGCTCTCTAGACATGGGTTGAGAAACCACTTATACGGAATGATAGCTTCTTAACCTAGAAAGAAATTTCTAAAATGAAAGAGTTGCCTTAAATTTAGTATTAGTGATCTTCATAAACTATAATTAATTTGATTCATTTTAGTTTTAAATCTTCCTCATGTTCAATATCTTTAGGAAAATCATATGATGGTGTGTACCTCGCCTTTTACATCAGATTTGTTAAGGCCTTCGCTCGTTGCTTTGCACCTTGACAACACTGCCTAGACATATGGACCTATAGCCCAAAATTATGAAGTCAATGAACAGCTAAAAAGCTCAACTGTTAATCATTGGCGTCCCTCTGCTGCAGATGTTAATCATGTATATCCTTTGTCAGAAGTCATTATGCCACCAAAGAATGATTACTAGTCCATAACTCTGTTTATTCCTTTCAGTTGAAGGATCATACTTCGACAGGTTTTTTAAGACTACAGCCAGCATGGATCCTACTGAGGTTGTTATGACTTGTGATGAGTTAATTTTCTTTTCTTGAATATTTATATCATTAACTATATTTTGCATAACATTCTTCTTCTCAGCGGGCTGCCTTCCTTGAAAAAGATGGAGAAATGGAGGATGCTCATGCTGTAGCAGCTATTGCTGGGGATACTGAGGTAGTTTTTTACAGTCTGATTTAGTTCCTAAAATACGGATAGGAAGTGATTTTATGTAGCATTGAGATCACCCTCTCGCAATAGATGCCCGATACCCATCGTCCATGAAAGCGGTTTTCATGATAACACAGAAATTTGCTAGAAAAAGCATGCCAGTCATGCATCTGAAATAGTAAATATAGGCTTGTCTACCTGGTTATAGACACATGCCTCAGAAAAATGTCACCCATCTCCCATATCTGACATTGTTTTGTGGGACTTTAGTGTTTGTAATGATGATTTTCTTTGGCGTGTTTATACTATAACGCTGTAATTTGTCGGAGGGGCCTAAGGAATCAATAAGTGGTGATTTGTGGTTTGCTTTTCTTCTTTCTTCACCTTCGCCACCCTTCCATTTTGTTGTATTGGGTTTATTGGTTGAATGGGTAGTGCTTACCTCCCTGTCAGTGTACACGTGTTGCTTACTAGCAGATATGAAGATTGAAGTTGTGTGCAGTCAAGTGAAATACACCTTCAATACTAAGTTTAACGGGGTGGCATGAGTTTGTAGATGCAGTATCCTACTAAGGAAGTCTTAATAGGACAATGCATGCATCCTTAAATAACAAATTGTGAAATGGATGTAACTCCAAGTTATTATTATTTGGTTAGCAGAAAATTACAATTGCAGTTTCAATCTGCAGAAGGTACTTACAGTTGCAGCTATTTAGTTTGCTGCAGCTGCAGTTTTGAGCAAGCACTTGCGAGATTGACATGCAATAAATATGTATCAGTTGCTCCCTTGTCACCGCGTTCTATGTAAAATATCCAAGAAATTCACAGTCAGTTATGTTCACATCCTTCTTACATGCATGTTGCCTGGTAATAACTATTTGATTTTTGTGTGGCAGGCCTCTACAGACGTGGATGAACATTATATTTGTTTCACATGTGTTGATGGTACAACTATTGCAGATCTCATAAGAATCTTGTTATCTGTGTTTCGGGATAAAGTTTCTATCTTTTAAATTCCTTCACATAAGTACTTTATATTTTGCTTTATAGGAGAACTTTATCAACTTGATGGGGCGAAGACTCGACCAATATCACATGGTCCTTCATCACCTAGCAGCTTATTGCAGGTTCCTCCTCCTCTTCTGCTTCTGCTTCAGTTACAACTACAAATAGGCCACACAAGCAAAAAATTAAATGGGATGCTAGTTAGATAAATTGTAAAAAAGAATGAGTGCACAATGCATATTGACAGCCAACAAAAACCTAGGAGTAAACATTTTTCGTTATCAGGATCAATAGGTTAAGGATGATGTGGTTCATCGGTCAAATCAAGATGGTTAAAAGTCAATGAGTGCTTCTGGAGTCCTACGTGATCATAGAATACCTCTGAAGTTTAAGGGAAAATTCTATAGGTCAGCTATAAGACCCGCAATGCTTTTTGGAATCAGAGTGTCGTGCAATTAGAAAACCAAGTGCAAAAGATGAGCGCAACCTAAATGAGAATGTTGTGATGGACTAGTTGATATGCACTAGGGTATATATAAAACTGACTGTATTCCTAGGCAGTTGGAGGTTACTCATATTGGGGAGTTAAAATGAGGGAATTATTTGAGATGGTTTGGTCATATACAATGGATACGATAATAATTTACTTAGGGGAGGAGATAGTCTTCACCAGAACTGATTGGAAGATGGTCTTCACCAGAACTGAATGGAATAGAACTGAATGGAAGAGTAAGATACATGTAGCTGACCCCAAAATTTTGGGATAGGCTTTGTTGTTTGCTATTGTAGGGACGAGGAGTAAGTGCAAAGTAGTTTGATGATAACTGTATAATAGAAGTTTTTATGGGATATCTTGCAGAATTCTGCTATTTATATCAGAAGGGTACTACTTCTATTCATCCTCGATGAAGGTTAAATCTTTTTCTTGCATGTGATATTGCTGACACAAGCATACACATCGGCAAGATTTCTTTTCTTTTCTTTTTTGCTATATCAGATGCTTGCAAGAAATGCAAAAAATATTCAATAAGACAACAATAGTCTTATTAGCAATTGATTGGGTTCCTTGGGGTTATGGACCTTGGATGGAGCCAATAATCCTTCATTGAAAAGGTAAGCAGGGAGAAATGAGTCCAAATCATATACAAAATGATCACTAGTAGTACTAGCTAGTAAAATAGCAGTAACAATATAAAATAATTTTTGTACTATAGTTCTTAGATAAGCTTTACACCGCATAACTAATTGTAACAAATTAAGTTCTACACACCCTTTGAATTTCTTACATGTATTTCTTTATTTATGCTTAGGGTCTCTGCCTTACAACTTTTCTTTTCTTCAGAGAGAACAGAGCAACTAAATTCCTCTTCGGGTATGTTTGGTTTTTCCTAGAAACCATTGAAAATCGGTTTCTAAGAAGGAAACCATAGAATCATGTGGGTGTAACACACTTTTCCTTTTTTTTCAGCCCATTTCCATCTTAACTTCATGGAAATGGGTTTCTGATTTTTTGGGACCCATTGCACAATATACATCTAAGTGCACGTTTGGTTCTCAAAAAATCGGAAAACGGTGCTATAGGAAATTGATTTCCTGTAACACTTTTCTTTCTTTTGTTTTATTTTAAAAAAAAAGAAAGAAAGAAGTATAAGAGTACATGTGGGACCCACACTTTGCGATGTAAATAGTGCAACAGGCCCTAAAAAACTAGAAACCCTTTTTCGACAAGTTAAGATGTAAATGGGCTAAAAAAGGAAATGGGGGTGCCACCTATGTGATTCTTTGGTTTCTTTCTTGGAAACCATCTTTCAATGGTTTCTAAGAAAGAGCCAAACATGCCCTTATTATCTCACGAAAGACTCATAATTATAGAAAAATATTGGCAAAAAGATTAGCAATAGAAAAATGATGACTGACATAGCACTTACCTATATGGCACTCCTTCTCCTAACCTGTCTTAAATGAAACTGAGTTATTTATCCTCTAACAATCTCTTCCTAAAAAAAGAGAATTACTTCTAAATCCCCTCCCCTCTCCGTTCTATTTGGACCACTTTTTGCTCTACTTTATAACCAACTTTTACCCTCTAGTTTACTATGGAAAATCTGATATAAGGCATTGTGTTCATTTTTAACATGTCCCTTTACCTAACATATCGGAGAGCGGTTATAAATAATGCATATATCTTTAGTTTAGGAATTAAAATCCTACATCTTAATCTTAATCTTTTACAGTGTAAACACAAAATGAATCATTTCTCAACAGTAGAAGAAATATCATAACTTTATGAAGGGATTAGATATTTCTCAATTATGTGATTATTTGCATAGTTATATTTGAGGTGGTTTGATCATAAAAAATAAGATTAATTTGTAATCATTAGCCTCCTGACAAGAGTTTGTATGATATAGACTTAAAAATAAGTACCAGCAGTGTCCAAGCTTTAAAAGAATCTTAGGATGAAGTCTGAGATTATTCAGGATCCAGATGTTTTCCTGATTGTTTGTAAAAGGATAGGACATATTACTTGTTAAGCAGAATTTTGCAGATCAAAGTGTCAGCCCAATTCTCTGTTCTTTTATCTGTTTCTTGATAGTTTGGCTTTAATTTTCTGGACCTTTTTTTTATTCTAGAGTTATCTGACTCCGATTATGACATCTATAATCCAAATTAATTATTTTTTCCATTAATATCTTCTCAGGATGCAGTTAAAGTCATAAAAGTGATGATTGAGAACAATCCAGATTCCATGAACTTCAATGTCATGGCACTTTCGAAGAAAGCAATGTGAAGTGCGTGAGGACTGACTCCATTGCGAGCCTCTTCCTTGTACTTGAGGCAATAATCTGATTTTAGACGTTATATGAGATTCTGTACTTACTATTACCTCGACAAAGTCTTGATGTTTTATGGTGTTTTTAGCCGTTGAAAGTGTTGGCCCTTCGTGTCAGCAGTTGAAACATTTTCTTATATATATATTATATATATATATAAAGAAAAGATTGTAGCTTTATTACTGGCTGATGTCTATAACGAACTGGCTTTGCTAGCATCAATCCCAGAATGCCCAAACTCAAGGCTCGAAGAACAGGATGAAAGTAAGATGCTTGAAAATGGAGTGCCGATTCAAGCATGGATGTGGGCAAAGCACACGGGTGCGATGTAGGCTTACTAACCTAAGGCGGGCCAAGATGGGCCTGCTGTCCAGGGTTTGAATCCTTGGGTGTGAGAAGAACTTGATTTAGGGGGTAATTTGGGGAGTTTAATTTGTATCAGAACGATACGTCATGCACGGTTGATTTAGGGGGTAATTTGGGGAGTTTAATTTGTATCAGAACGATACGTCATGCACGGTGCGGGGCGATCTGAACCAAAAAGTGCGTTAGCGTTGCGAGCGTTAGCGTTGCGATAGAATTTGTACTCGAGTTTGGGTATAAGAAATGTTAGAGGCATATCATGAGGCACACCTCCGGTCACACTCCCCACCTGCTACAGTGCAGGAGGCCTCACAGGAGATTTTTTTTAAAATCTCCTGTGGGGCCCCCTGCACTGTAGCAGGTGGGGGGAGTGTGACCGGAGGTGTGCCTCATGGTGTGCCTCTAACACCCCTCTTTGGGTATATGATCGTTGCTCCAATTACTAGACACACGTGCTACTGGCTTTGGCTCGGGGGTTGGTACCGGCCAAAGACTTTTTTGGAAAACAGTTAGTTTTTCTGGTGAAGACTATCTCCTCCCCTAAGTAAATTATTACTAGACATGATTTGCTCAGGTTAACGCCTTGAAGACAAGGTCCTCCTTAAAAGACCTCGTCGTATTGTAGAAGATAAAAGTTTTCAAGCGTGCCTGCTAAGATTTTTGGAGAAGGCGTTAAGTATCTGGAGCTGGAAAACAGTTAGTTTTTCGTGTTTGCTGGTGTGGAGCCACAACTGCAACGTGACCACTGTCGCCCCCGGAGTTTGTTACTCGCCGTGCGGTGGCAGTTAGATGCTGGTGCAAATCATGCCAACGCTGTCGATTTCGTAGGTGATTTGATTTCAATAATTGTAGTGCCACGGTGGCATTGATTACAGAGAAATTAGGTACTCAAGTTCAGACCACCAAAAATTGGTATTTGGTATATAATTTATCCCGCACCAGAATCTTATATGACTAATTGGGGACAACTTGTGAGGCTCGTGAGCCTCGATTCATCCTTCTGGCCATTGAAATGAGCTCAAGGGAGTTTTGAGGAGAAGAAACAGGAAAAAGATAGAAGAATCTGAAAGAAGAAGAAAGAAATAAACTGAGAGAGAAGAGATTTTTCTTATTATCCAAAAGTCTGCTTTTAATTTCTTACATCAGCTTATTTATACAACTCTTCTCACAAACTGTGCACGTGCACAAACAGTTGAGTTCTCTAACAGACTAACAGACCAAACAGTTAAGTTCCCAACAGAATTAACAGAAACTAACTAAACATTTATTACAATCCTTGCACTTTAAAAGTCTTGCACATTAGCCCTTAAATTTTGCATATCAGTCCTGGTCTTTGCATATCAGTCAAACAGCTATAAGTCTTCAGCCGGATCCTCCCAGGTCTTCTCCTTCATGTGTTGTCTTCTTCTTCAGGTGCTGATCTTCAGCTTCAAGTCCATTTCCAGCTGCTTCCAACTGCCTCAGTACCAGCTCCTTACAATTCCCCCCTCTTAAATTTGACCTTGCCTCAAGGTCAAAAGTAGGGAACCTTTTCACCAAGTCCCAATAGGGTTCCCAGGTGGAATCTAATGGAGATCTCTGCTTCCATTTGATAAGGACTTCAGAAACCAAGTGATTTCCCTTGATAACTGACCTTCTATCTAAGATTGCTTCTGGTTCATCAATTATTTCTTCTACATAGTTAGGCCAGTCACGCTGTAAAATAACACCAGAACCCACCCTCCCTTTAAGCTGTGAGACATGAAAAACAGGATGAATTCTAGCTTGCTCAGGAAGGTCTAACTTGTAAGCTACTTCCCCTATCTTTTCTAAAACTTGGTAAGGGCCATAAAACTTGGGAGATAGCTTGTGGGGTTTACATGAAGAGACACTGATTTGCCTATAAGGCTGAAGCTTGAGATAAACCCAATCACCCACTTCAAAGCTCCGAGGGCTCCTGTGTCTGTCTGCAAATTTCTTCATTTGTGCAACTGACTTATTCAAACTATCCTTCAAAAGCTGTAAGGCAATATCTCTAGAAAAGAGAACCTCATCCACTTCCTCAACCTTGCAACTCTTAGGAATATAGTTTAGCAAAGAAGGAGGTAGTCTGCCATAGACTGTCTCAAATGGAGTGGTATGTGTAGAAACCTTCCAGGTTGTATTATACCAAAATTCAGCAAGAGGAAGCCATCTACTCCATTTCTTGGGCTTGTGGCAACAAAAACATCTTAGATAACCCTCTAAACTTTTGTTAATGATCTCTGTCTGGCCATCAGTTTGAGGGTGATAGGCTGAGCTGAATTTTAATTGGCTTCCCTGTGATTTAAACAACTCTCTCCAGAAGAGGCTGGTAAACAAGGGATCTCTATCACTCACTATAGACTTAGGCAAGCCATGTAGTTTGAATACTCCTTCAAAAAACACTTGAGCAACTGATTTAGCAGTGTATGGATGTGAGAGTGGAAAAAAGTGAGCATACTTAGATAATCTGTCAACCACCACAAAAATAACAGTTTTATCTCCACTTTTTGGTAACTGAGTAATGAAATCCATTGAGAGATCTTCCCAAATGTAATCTGGAACAGGTAAAGGTTGTAGGAGACCTGGAGGGGATACATTCTCTCCCTTAGCTCTTTGGCAAATATCACACCCTTGGACATAGGCCTGAACATCCTTTTTCATACCTTTCCAGTAACAAGCTCTTCTCAGTCTCTGCAGTGTCCTAGTAATTCCAGAATGTCCTGCCATTGGACTATCATGATGCTCTTTCAATAAGGAAGATTTAATGTGTTGATTACTAGGGCTAATTAAAAGTTTACCCTTGTAATAATAAATTCCTCCTTTCCTGGAATATCTCTCAGCATCCAAATGCCCTTGCTGTAACCTTGCATCCAACTGTCTAAAGTAATCATCTGTAGAACACATATGCTTAATCTCCTCAAGCCATTCACTGTTAAGAGTAGTGATTGCTGAAACCTCAGTAGTTTGTACATGAATTCCCTCTTCATCCTCATTAATTCTGGATAATCCATCAGCTGCCTTGTTCAATCTGCCTGGTTTGTATTCTACTCTATAGTCATATCCATGTAACTTTGCAAGCCATTTATTTTGAATACCCGTGTGAATTCTCTGCTGCAATAGGTATTTAAGACTCTGATGATCAGTTCTGATTACAAATGTCCTTCCCAACAAATACTGCTGCCACCTTTTTGTTGACAGAATGATGGCCATTAACTCCTTTTCATAAGTTGAAAGTGTAACATTCCTCCCTTTTAAAGCAAAACTAAAGTAAGCAATAGGTCTTTCTTCCTGCATCAGTACAGCTCCAATACCTGACCCTGAAGCATCACACTCAATAACAAATACCAAGTTGAAGTTTGACATAGCTAATACAGGAGGATGGGTGAGTGCAACCTTCAATGCTTCAAAAGCTTGGCCAGCACTTTCATTCCAAGTGAAAGTCCCTTTCTTCAATAATTGTGTCAAAGGTTGTGCTATTGATCCAAAGCCCTTGATAAACTTTCTGTAATATCCTGCTAAGCCCATGAATTCTCTCAATCCTTTCAAGGTTGTGGGTATTGGCCATTCAATTATAGCTTTGATTTTATTAGGATCAACTCCAACCCCTTCTTGTGACACCACATGTCCTAAATACTCCACCTGATTTTTCCCAAAACTGCACTTTGTCATCTTTGCCACCAATTGATGTTTCCTCATGATCTGAAAAACTTGCCTCAGATGGAATAAATGATCCTGCCACTTTGCACTATACACCAGAATATCATCAAAGAAAACAAGAACATATTTTCTAAGTAAATCTTTGAAGATAGCATTCATGAGGGCTTGGAAAGTGGAAGGTGCATTAGTAAGACCAAATGGCATTACCATAAATTCAAAATGGCCACTATGAGTTCTAAAAGCAGTTTTTGGAATGTCAGTCTCATGCATCCTAATCTGATGGTATCCAGATTTCAGATCAAGCTTAGTAAAAAATTTTGTGCCATGTAGTTCATCCAACAATTCATCTATAACAGGTATGGGAAACTTGTCTTTGATTGTGGCTTGGTTGAGAGATTTGTAATCAATACACATTCTCCAAGAACCATCAGATTTCTTTACCATCACCACTGGAGAGGAGAAAGGACTATTACTAGGCCTAATGATCCCCTTTTTTAACATTTCCTCCACATGCCTTTCAATTTCATCCTTCAAAAAATGTGCATGTCTATAGGGTCTGACACAGATTGGTTTTGTTCCCACTTCCAATGGAATCTTATGGTCTATATCCCTACTAGGAGGAAGGTGAGGTAGCTCTTGAAATACATCATCAAACTCTTGTAGCAGCCCTTGCATCTCTGTAGGTAGCTCCTCATGTACATCCTCTGTTGTGCACTGCTGTAGATTAACACTGCACAGCTGAATTAAGAATCCTTGTTCCTGCTCCCTCAGATTTTTTGCAATTTCTTTCCTGTCAACCAACTGCAATTCACCAGGAAGTACTCCCTGCAAGGTTCTTTTAACTCCCTCATTCATGAATGTTACCTGCAACTTATTGAAATTTAGGGTAATATCCTCCAAAGTTCTCATCCAATCAGCTCCTAACACCACCTGACTGCCCCCCATAGGCATAACCAGTAGATTTACCTTAATGTTCACCCCTTGGCAATCTAAGGGTACCTCTTGACACACTCCTCCACCCTTAATCAGTTCACCACTGGCCACCAATACATCAAAACTATTAGATTCTGTCATTGATATGCCCAATTTTTTTACCAGCTTAGCATTAATGAAGTTGTGTGTGGATCCTGAGTCTATTAAGATGCTGACAGCCTGATGT